CAAACAATTAGAGAGTAGAAGAACACAAGAAAATGTATGTAATATATTAAAATAGTAGAGAAGAAAAGAAGAAAACATGCCAGGATGAAAGGTAATGTTAAGTTGTAAGATTTTGTGTGGAGAGATGCGGTGGTTGGAGGCATGAAGAATGTGACTTTTGTGCCTAATAATTTTCCAAAACCATTATGGAAGTAACATTTAATTACACTACATTGTATTTCATACGTAAGCTTAGAAGGGATGTTCAAGAATGTGTTTGAAGGACTAAAAATTCGCGATGAGCGTGAAGGTGAAATTCGAGTTGTTATGATCAGTGTGAAATATATTTTGGGAGATACAAGACAAATAAGATTGATTATTCAAAGTGAACATACTTTGTCATTTTACTAGGGATGGTTAATTTTTACAGGATTATTTTCTTGTTGTTTATTAAGGTTGATCAAAAGGTTATATGTCGACTATAAGAACATTCATGTCTATTTCTCCCAATGAAATTAAATCAACAGAAAATCTTTAATTTGGTTGTATTTAATCAATTTCTAAACTATATATGTATCTTTTCTTTTCTCGAACAAAATGGTAATCAAAATATATAATTAATTAAGTAAAAGTGTGTCTTCTCTAAACGTTAAAACTTTCAAATGAGATATAAAGTCACATATTTCAATATTGTATCATAGTAGATAAAGATACCATGCTTGTGTTCTCCCACCCTATATCATAGTTTCATGTATTTGGAACAAGAAAAAGAATCAATCCGATATATGATGATTCAAGAAGTTATAAAACCTTTTAAAACTTTTGAATACCTAAAAGCTAAGTGAAACACCAATATGACCCATCACTTGGATTTTTTGCTTCCTTAGGTTACATAGGAAAAATGAAAATTAGCAGTGTTTCCTTTTTTGATTATTTCAAGTTGTTGAACCATTAAAGGTAATGAGAAAGTTACGCTCCTTATAGAAAAATTATAGTGTAGATAGGTAATATATATATATATCTATTATATTTTAAAATTCTTATTTTTTTCATGTGTTTACTTCTTTATATTCTAATTTTAAATTACGTTACATGTTTCTGATTTAAAAAAATATTAATAATGATTTATAATCAAGTATGTAACTATGTAGTGTTTTTGTATCTCTAATTTGGTAGCACACGATCTATATGATAAGAAAACATATTACTTGTTATCATTATATTTATTTGTTTTGTAGTCTAAAGTACTCATGCATTTTGTCACGCCCCGAGCCTACACCCCGAGCGGGACTGACACTCGGAGACCATTTCTGGCCCCAAGAGAACCCTTTGCTTGGCTTACTTAACTCAGCGGAAGACTTAACTCAATGAAACAGTCTCAAATAATAACTTAAAGAATAATAAGTTGGCCAAAATGGCACTTAAGTCTTAAACAACATCTGAAAGATATCTGAACTAATAACTATCTGACTGTCTATGAAGCCTCTAAAATACTGAGATGGATGTTGGGACAAACCCCACAACATCCTAATAAATGAAAGACTGAAAGCGAATAAAAGAGTCCTCCGGAATGCAAGGAGGCTCACCACTAACTTTGAGCTGCTCAACTGGATTAACGAGGTGCTGGGTGCTTATCCTGTTTACCTACGTCTGCATCATAATAAGATGCAGGCCAACTGGCATCAGTACATTGAATGTACGAGTATGTGAGTTGGAATGCTAAACCACACATAGGCTAGAAAGAATCTGAAAGAAACTAAATAACTTACATGGCTCACTCAACTCAACCTGACTGACTCATTTCAGTATAAAGCAATTTAAAGCAAGTGCAATATAAAGAAAAGCTGTTTAAAACATGACTAATAAACTCTGTGTGTGCAAAGATAACAATAAATCTGAGATGTATGTAGAAATACAAATGAACTGATGTATATAGAAATACAATAACTGTTGTGGGAGTTTCTCTAACCGACAAGCATCACATAAGAGCTATGGTGATGATACAACGATCTACCTCACACTGCCAGCGCATCCTATACCTGGCCAAAGGTATAGGACCTGAACTGCCTAATGGATCCACTAGTCTAATTTGAAAAGGATTCATCTAAAAAGTATGAACCTCTTCTACCCATGATGGCTACATGGTTCTATGGGGGGCTGTGGGTTTTTTGAACGCTCCCCCAATTCGGTGCTCAATACTACTCCCAAAAATGTACTGGCTCTTATGTTTTTAAAACATATTTCCTCTGTGATTTGAGATTAGTGCTCAAAAACTTAGCTCAAAGTCTATCTTGGAAATCTAAGTTCCCCTGCTTGCTTCATTTAGAAAGCTATTACTCTTTTCTGAAAACTAGCCCGAAGGCTCTTTGGAAATCTCAGTTTCCGTTCTTATTTAAATGTTAAAACATTTTAGATCTCTTTGGGAATACTTAGTCCCCATATACTTTTGAAGAAATGAACTTCAAACTTTACTGTTTACTCTTTATTCAATTTGAACTTTAAGTCTTAAAACAAAGTTAAAACATTTGGAAAAGACTTTTGGAAAACTCTAAGAACTCATCTTGACTTGACCCTTACTTCTCTTGACTTTGATCTTAACTTTCCTTGAATTGGATTATGGATTCAAGGTTCATGATCTCATGTTTATGGATGATTTCATGATGTTTAGATGATTTTAGAATGTTAGAATCGACTAGGAAACATAGGTACATCACTTAGGAACACGTACGAGAAGGTGGGGAACGAATGGGGAGAACTGGCGTCCCTGGCGCTCTGAGAGGCGGGGGCGCTAGGCCCCAAAGCTCAGAGAGCTGGGTGGGGGTGATGCGCCAGAGGCCAAACCTCAGAGAACATTTTGGGGCGCGCTGAGAGGCGCGACACCTCAACCGCTGTACCCAGGTGTTCTCGACTTCTCTCCTCCATTTTTCATCTCTAAACTCTCCAAACTTCCATGGTACTTTCCCCAAACCCCTAGGATCAATTGTACCCTCAATATACAACCAATCTAACTCACAAAACAACCCGGAAACATGAATCAATTCACCCCCCCCCCCCAAGCATCAACAATTCAACCAACAAGAATTCTACAATTTGTTCTTCAAGAACCTCACTTTTCAACATGTAAACAACTCCAAACCAAAGGATTGAAACAAATTGGTATGTGGGTGAACTAACCCAACACAGAAAGATCTCACATACCTTAATAGGGATCACCCCCGACGAATTCCACTCGTAATCTTGAATGATCTTGGCTAATTCTTGCCTTTTTCTCCCGTTCTTTCTTTCTTTCTCTCTTCTCCAAGCCCTCAGCGTATTCTAACTTTTCAAAACTGAATTAAGTTCTGTTTTTACCCCTATAAATCCTTAAAAACGAATTAGGAAATTAATTAGAGAAAAGACTTCTTAGCCCTTCCCTAAATCCGGATTGAAACTTTCCTCGATCCAACAACCCAACTTCCGGTAGGCATATCTTACTCATACGATGTCGGAATTTCACAAACTCTGCGGCGTTGGAAAGATATATCCAAGGGCTTTCCAACCATATCAATAAATTCTCCTAAATCATCCATATCTAGGAGTTATGGACTTTTGAAAATGGCCAAAACTCACTTTCTTAACTTAGACAATTTCCAGATTTCCTTATTCTTTCCAAAAATCATTATTTTCAGATTTTAAACTATTTCTAGTCGTTTCTAGGTGTGAGATGTTACACATTTCTTGCATTATTTTTTACTGAATAATACAGATGATTCTTGGAACAACAAAAATGTCATGCTTTATATCTCTAATTTGTTAGCACACAATATATGTGATAGTAAAACATGCTACTTGCTATCATTATATTCTTTTTGATTCTTAGTTTAAAGTAGTCACACGTTTCTTGCTGTCATTATATTCTTTTTGATTCTTAGTCTACAGTAGTCACGCATTTCTTGCTATCATTATATCTTTTTGATTCTTAGTCTAAAGTAGTCACACATTTCATGCTATCATTATATTCTTTTTGATTCTTAGTCTAAAGTAGTCATCACACATTTCTTGCATTTATACTGAATAATAATGATGATTCTTGGAATAACAAAAATATCATGCTTTTGCATCTCTAGAACCATCTACATACTAGTATAAATATGTGTGACCTTAATCAGTTGTAACCAAACTAGTTCAAAAATGCTTTCTTTCTCAACAAAATTCTCCTTCCCAAAATTCTCATTCTCCTTCATGGATACCTCCTTTTTCACCACCAAAAATATGAAGAACTTGAAGAATGAAAAATCTCATGTTCTCATAGCACTACTTCCAGGCCAAGGACAAATTAATCCATGTCTTCAATTTTCAAAACAATTAATCAATTTAGGCATTGAAGTCACTTTAACAACAAGCCTTTCAGCTTTCAGTAAAATAAAAAAACTCCCAAATGTTGAAGGATTAGGCTTTGCTCCTTTCTCTGATGGCTATGATGGCAAATTCCAGTTAAGTTCAATTGATGAGTTTCACTTGTTTTTATTCTTCTATAAAGTCTCACGGGTCAGAATTTATTTTCAATTTGATTCAATCAAATGCAAAAAATGGTACCCCTATTTCACATGTCATATACACTACTATTATGGAATGGGTTGGTTTAGTGGAAAAAAAAATTAATATCCCATCTACATTATTTTGGATCCAACCAGCCACAATTTTTTATGTTTATTATTATAGATTCACTGATTATTCTGATTATTTCAAGAACTGTGATGGTAAGGATAAACTAATAGAGTTACCAGGATTGCCACCACTTAGTCCAATTGATTTTCCTTCTTTTGTGTTTGATGACATGAAGAGTACCAATTGGGCAGTTGAGTCTATTAAAAATCAAATTGAAATGTTGAATAGTGAAGAAAATTCAAGATTTCTTGTAAACACTTTTGATTCTTTGGAATTTGATGCTTTGAGAATTTTAAAGCATGTGACTATGTATGGAATCGGGCCATCAATTCCTTTAGTTTTTCTTGAAGATAGTACTTTTCGAGCGGATATGATTGAGATTAGTTAGAAAAATTATATAGATTGGTTGAACTTAAAGGATAAAGGATAAGTTATTTACATAGCTTTTGGTAGTTACTCCAAAATATCAAGTCAATTGATGGAGGAGATTGGTCAAGGATTGCTAAAATGTGGAAGACCATTTTTGTGGGTGAATAGAGAAAGGAAAGATGGAGATAAGATGGAGGACAAATTGAGTTGCAAAGACGAACTTGAAATGCAGGGGAAGATAGTAAGCTGGTGCTCACAAGTGGAAGTTCTAAAACACCCTTCTCACTATGGATGGAATTCGACATTGGAGAGTATAGCATCTGGGGTACCTATCGTGGTATGTCCGCTCTGGAATGATCAAGTTTGTAATGCAAAATTCATTCAAGATATTTGGAAGAATGGTGTTAGACTTAATGTTAGTGAAGGTGGTGTTGTGGAAAGATATGAGTTCAGTAGATGTATCGAGATCGCGATGGGAGGCAACAAAGAAGGGAAAGAATTGAGAAGAAATGCCAAGAAATGGAGTGATTTAGCTAAGGAAGCTATGAAGGAAAATGGTACATCAAGTGTGAATCTCCAGGCTTTTGCTAATGAGATTTTACTTGGTCATAATGAGTACTAAATTATTCATGAATAAATGACTTGCATAAAATAACTTCTAATTAATTAAGTTTTTGTAAGGGCCTTTTCTCCGTTTCAGAAAAAATAATGATTTTTTTTAAAATTATTTAGAATGAAATATTTTTCTTAGTTTCTGTTTTTTGTACACACTCATATTTTTATTTTTGCTAATCCATAATGAAAAAAATAATTCTCTATCATTAATCCAAAATGATAAGTGAAAATTAAGTAAGAACCTACTATACAACTTATTAAATTGATTTAACATTATAAATCTATAACTTAAAACCATTACAAATAATATAATCACATAACTTAAAGAATGTTTGTGACGTCTGTGTATTATAGATCAGAATAAATTCTCACTCTTGTTAATTCAACAAAGCATATTAGCCAACTCAATTAGAATTGCACCATGATATTTATTTTTAAAATATGTGTTTATTGTAAAAGGTTATGACCCATTTAGCCCTATTTTTAAAAAAAGTATTTTTTATTTTAAATGAAATGAAAATAAATGTTTGTTAATAGAAATACAAATTGGAATAGTTTATTACTTATTTTCTATTTGCCTTTACAAATTTGAAGGTATATTAAAGTATTCAAGTGTGAACATTACTCCATATTATATTCTTTAAAAAAATATAACCAGCACAAAACTTTAGCTATTGCTTCAAATGGATAATACGACGTTATTACTCTCCTTCCTACTTTTAATATTTTTTATAAGATGCTCATTCTTCAATCCCAAGATGTGATGACATTGTCACGACCCAAAGCAGACACTAGGCGTAACATGACGTATAGAACCCCAAGAGGCGCTACACAAGCCACTTGACATACATCATACAATATAATAGAAATAAAGACTTTAAAAGATAGAATTTATACATCAAAGGAGTTTGACAAGCAGAAGTCTAACATAAGTGTCAAAGCCATCTAATACATCATAAGGAAAGTGACTAGGATGTAACTCATACATCACATACAAAGTCAAAAAACAGAAATGACATAAACGAATTAAAAGAGTCTCGGTCCGCGGAACATGATGACTCACCAATATTCAAAACCCCAAAGGATAAACTTGCCACAAGTATGGGAGGTAGGAGCGTCGAAATCCTACATTAGTGAGACAATATAGGTACAAGTGTACATTAGTACATGGAATGTACTAAGTATGAAACAATATGTATAAACATAGGAATTATAGCATGTTAGTGAAAAATTACAAAATAACAGAATTACAAGATTACAACTGAAAATAAATTGAAGAAATAAAAATCTCTTCAGGCTTAGGCGCGGATATCTCGCTCTCTTTAAGGAGATTCAAGCCCACTGCAGCAAATGTTTTTCACCAGTCCAGCAGTAGTTCTTCTTGACTTGTCCCCTCCAGGATACAACACCCTTAACACAAAGTATAACTCAACAACTCTGGACAAGAGTTGAGTCCAAAGCTCCACAAATAGAACACCTCCCTTCAACTAATAAGAACTCTCTTTTGTGACTAACTATTTCCTCTCTATCTTTTTCTTATGTTCCTAAACCAAATGAAGACCACCACTATTTATAGTAGAAGAAGTCTTCCTAGGAATAAATAGGAAGATAATAGTGCAGTAAATAGTGAAGATAATGGCCTTAGAAGTTACATAGGTTACATGGTAATATGGAGGAATTAAGAGTAAAGAATAATGTGGGCAACAAATTCCCCTCAACGTGCAAGTGCAACTCAACGAACAAAAGTCAATGTGTGCATTCTCTAACTTCCAATGAAGAAGCAGTAAAGAGAATGTCCACCAACGACAACAATGAATAGAGGCAGTAATTCCTTAGAGGCAACTTGAACGACAAAAAATGTTAATGCGACAATTCAATATATGGATTTTTTTTTTGTAATAATAAAATGCCTACACTAATAATCCCCCACTCATTATAATATTAACCAAGATAGTCTATCAGCTGAAGGAAGACTACTATGCATAATGAATGTGTGCTCTGCATTGAACTTTCATTTAGTGAAACAATAATTTTTACTCCAGAGTCGTAGTGGTCTCAGACTTGAACTATGACTCCTTGAGGGAAATAAAATATCACTGTCCACACATAATAATCAAGGTGTTGACATGAGCTTTAAAGCCAGCACGTTACAGCCTTGTGTTATCCCGATTTAATGAGTGCATATGAGAATAAGCCCAATTCTCATAGGAAGCGACCTACTTCCACACTCATCTATGTGAAATTAGTCGAGAGTTCTCCTGTAAGCTTAACACTCCACCCATACGGGCTACATATATTCATTAAGAGTTTTATCAACTCAACCTTCACAAATCACTACAGGAAACAATGCACTCACGTCATAAGGAGGGAATAAAAAGATAGTGCATTTTTCACAACAAGTCATCATATGATTAGTTTTTCCCTTTGAACCTGGTTATAGGATCTCTAGTCCCTAGGTTGGGTTTCCTCATATATGACTCAAGGATTTATAGGCTTCAATCCCATCCCCCTCGATGTGCTCCAAACCTTCTCTCTTTTTAAGGCCTTAGTAAGAGGATGTGCAAGATTATCACACGATTTGACATAATCAACATTAATGGTACCATTTGTCAAATACAATCTTACATTACTGTGTTTCCTCCTTATAGGTCTAGATTTACCGTTGTAATAACAGTTTTGAACTCTACCAATTGCAGCGGTGCTATCACAATGAATTAAAATAGGAGGAATTGGTTTTCAAAATAAGGTATTTGAAATAATAAATCTCTTAACCAATTCATTTCCTCACTAGCTGAAGCTAAAACAATTAGTTCAGCCTCCATGGTAGAGTTAACAATTATAGTTTGCTTTTTTGATCTCCAACAAATAGCACCACCACCTAAAGTAAAGACATAACCAGTGGTAGGACAGGAATCACATGATAAAGTGTTCCAATCTGCATCACAAAAGCCTTCAAGTACATCAAGATATTTTTTATAGAACAAACCACAATTTTTTGTTCCAATTAAATATCTCATAACTCTTGTTATAGACTGCCGATGTTCATTACCTAACTTGCTTATAAACCTGCCAAGTACTCCTATTGTATATGCAATATCAGGCCTAGTGCAATCAGTCACATATCTCAAACTTCCAATTATGCTAGCATATTCCTTTTGATTTATTGCATCATTTTCACTTTCAACAGGAAATAAGTGAACACTAGAATCAAAAGGAGTTACAACATGCTTGCAATCATGAAAGTTATATTTTTTCAAAATTTTCTCAACATAATGTGACTGGTTAAGGAAAATTCCATCTCATGTTGTTATTTTTATTCCAAGAATAAAATTTGCCTCCCCAAGATCTTTCATATCAAAATGGCTTCTAAGAATATTTTTAGCTTTATCAATAACATTAATGTTAGAGCCAAAGATCAATAAGTCATCAACATATAGACAAATAATCACATGTGAATTATTCCAAGACTTATGATATATGCACTTATCACACTCATTTGTTTTAAAACCATTTTCAATCATGCAGGAATCAAACTTTTCATGCCATTGTTTTGGTGCCTGTTTCAAGCCATATAGGGATTTAGTAAGTTTACATACTTTGCTTTCTTGGCCTACTTCAACAAAACACTCGGGTTGATCCATATAAATTCCCTCATTTAGGTCTCCATTTAAAAAAGCAGTTTTTACATCCATGTGATGAATTTGCAAATCAAAAATTACAGCCATAGCAATTAAAAGTCTTATGGATGTAATTCTTGTTACCGGTGAAAAAGTATAAAAAAATTCTAGGCCCTCTAGTTGTTTAAAACCTTTTGCAACTAGTCTAGCCTTATATTTATCAATAGATTCATCCAATTTTAATTTTTTCGTAAGACCCATTTGCAACCAATTTTTTTACAACCCGGCGGTAAATCAACTAACTTCCAAGTTTTATTAGAAATCAGTGATTCCATTTCATCATTTAGAACCTCTTTCCAAAAAATGGAGTCATGTGAAGATGATGCTTCTTTCAAAGTGAGATGGTCATCTCCAACATTAAACACACAAAAATAAGGACCAAAATCTTTTTCTACTCTAGCTCTTTTACTTCTTCTTAACTCAAAATCATCAATTTCTTTATTTTTCAAAGTGGAAGTAGAAGAACTAGGTAGTGACAAAATATTTTGTTCAATCCTTTGACCCCCACTATTTTTAGAATCAAAAGGGAATTTATTTTCATGAAAAATAGCATCACCTGATTCAATTATAACATTATCTTCAAGATTAAAAAATCTACAAGCTGTACTATTTGAAGCATAACCAAGAAAAGCACAAGTAGTAACTTTCTTACCCAACTTTGTAATCTTGGGATCCATTAGCCTCACAAAGGCTAGACAACCCCAAACTCTTAGATATCCCAAACTTGGCATGTAACCTTTCCACAATTTAAAAGATGTCAATTTAGACTTTTTATGAGGCGCACAATTCAAAACATAACAAGCAGTCAAAATAGCTTCACCCCAAAAATTTAAAGGTGCATGTGATTCAATAAGCATGTCATTAGTCAATTCAACCAAAATTCTATTTTTCTTTTTCGCTACACCATTAGATGAAGGAGAATAAGGAGGAGTAGTTTCATGAATTATTCCCAATGATTTAACAAAAGAATTAAACTCATTTGACTCATATTCACGGCCTCTATCACTATTAATTCTTTTTATTTTTCTTCCAAACTGATTTTCAACCTCATGGAGATACGTTTTAAAATTTTCTAAAAGCATCACTTTATTTTTCATCAAGTAAACAGATGTAAACTTAGAAAAAATCATCAATGAAAAGTGATAAAATATATATTACCTCCACGAGTTAAAATTTTCACCAAGTTCACAAATATCAGTATGAACTAATTCTAACAATTTTGTTTTTCTTTCAACTTGGAAATGAGGCCTTTTAGTGATTTTGGCTTTACTACAAGCCTCACACTTTTTAAAACTCTTTTTAACCATTGGGATTAATCCTAAACTACTCA